TAATGCATGCATTTTTTTAATATGTCAATAATCTATGGTCTGTCGATGTTTTCAATGTCAATTTCATTTTGTTTTGATCAATCATAACTTCTCTAATGTTTAATTATTGACATGACTGATTTGAGGAGCCTAAAATAACTTTGTTAATTCGATTTTCTTATGTGTTATGATCTGTGTTGTAGGTAGACAAATAGCAGTTAGACAATAATAGGAAATGCCGATCATTGGAATAAAAAAACATCTATTGTTATATAAAAATGAATAACAAGAAAATAGTTGAAAAAATTACATATTAAATGTGATGTGCAAAACTGATTTATAAACAACCGAGAGACGAGAGAAATGAATGGCACTGATGTTATCTATCAAGTTCAAATTGCAACAGAGGATTAAAACTGGTGATTTAGTCAAAATATTGGTTCTGTTCACAACAAGACACTCTCGAATTTCTAATCTAATGCTGGGGAATCGTAAAGAAAGTTTTACCTAAAAAACCCCATGAAAAAGTTTATAAGAAAATCTGTTATTACAAAAATGCGGCGAACGTATTCTTCATATTCAACACATTGTCTCCTATTGTAAAGATAAGAGTTAAACAGTGATATAAGATTACCACGGAACCAAATGAAACGCAGTTTTCGAATAGGATATCCGTGTATACACGTATTCTATCAAATGTCTTTTCTATGTCCGTATAAAAAACAAATACCTGTTACCCATCATCCAAATTTTCGCAAATAGTTTGTGTTAAGCAAGAAAGGTTAGTGATACATGATTTTTTGTCGACGAAGCCATGATGCTGATCGATCGACAAAGTTTCTCTCGTTGGGTCAAAAATGAACTTCCAAAGTATGGTTCCAAACAACTTTACAAAATTAAGAGATTTCGAAATAGGCACGTGGTTCTTAATTTGAGCTGGGCTATCTTTTTTCGATGTTTTCGTAAGTCTAGCTAGTTTTCAAGTTTCTGTAAAGGAGTTTGTCTTCAGAAATTAAGAATGTAACAGTGACATAAGTAAAATACTTGAAACCTAGTCTCGCCCCATAGTTAATTTATTTTTCAGCTTCTTAGACAATTTAATAACATCAGCCTATGAAATTATCTTAATAGCGATAAAAGGTAAGTTAAAATATTTCTAAGGTAAATAATCGGCTATGTTAACATCAAACGTATTATAAACATCAGAAAGGTACTGACCAAAGGCATTTACAATATCTTCTGCATCTGGTCACCTATTTTCATAGTACCACGTATCCCACTATTGCCTTTTTTGCTAAAATTGTGTGATTTCCTTTATTCATTTAGTATAAATTAATTGTATTATTTTTAAACAAAGATGTTCGTAAAGAACAGTGAAGAAAGATTGATGCTACTTTTTGTATTATTTTCGACTCTTTTTCTCTCAATATCCGATTGTCAAGAAAAAGTAAGTTCTAGTACATTTCAGTGCTGGGTTGAAGAAAGTGGGACCTCACGATATCGTAAGTTTTAATGTGATATAAATGAATAGCATTCATGCAATTATTCAGGAACGGAGCGATTATGACTTGCTCAATCGTAAGAAACGTATGTCATGTGACGAAGAAACACTTTTTCTAACCCCTTTATGCTCAGTACCAGGCGTACCAGAACAGTGATGTAAAGCGAACTTACAAAAGAAGGAGACTACAGCGTTAGCTAAAAATAAACAGAAATTGTCCAAGAGCTATCTATCTTCGCAGCCGCTCGGAAAAATATTCTGATCTGTTTTTTGCATAAGTTTAGTCAATACGTACTACCTTTAATGGACCTTCATGTTGCTAGGTCCAAAAATGCGTCAATAATAATTGATTATTGTTTTAAGTAAATTGCATTAATTGCTTTTTGCTCCGAACAAGGTACTAATTTTTTCAGGTTATTCTGAGCTTGACGGTTGTTTCAAACTTCCCTCTAAAATTGGTAGCTGTTGTAGTATAAGAGATACATTATTTGGTAAAGTGCAAAATATGCCTTTTCGACCCCGAAAGACAATATCGAAAATCGAAAATATTAATGTAGTCAAACATGTTAACAAAGTCTCAAAGCATTTTTAGAAGCGATTGTTTATTGAAAACCTGTGTTAGAGATGCACCTGTCGTAGATTTCAACGAGCAATGAGACCAGATACCTTCGAGACATCAACAGCCGATTATGCGAGAAACCTTGATGAATTGGGTACACTTATGATCAGAAAATACCGTGTCGTGAACGAAAACCACTAAAGTCACGGTTACAATGGATGTTAATTCTGGCGAGATTTTTTTCTGACGACTTCTGACTAAGTCGTCACAATAAACAGTCCGCGTTCAAACAGATTTGATTTTTTTGTACGACCTGTGTCGCTTCTGTGTACTTGGTTGGATATTTTACCATGGATAACGATAAATAAATAAACTGATCACTTGTGTATCAGAACATTTTACTCTGGGATATGAGATATGAGAGACAAACATTATCAATGACAACCTTTCAATTTCTCCTTTGTCATCTATACTTGAAATTAAAGATTGATATGCTCTGTATTTTCACCATTTAACAACAGTAACTTCAATAAGGACTCTCAAAAAAATAAAATTCGTAACTTCGACCATATTTGTGGGGTGGCATAAACGTGGTTACTACCAAAATATCAGACAATACGCACAGTGTAACCGCCTTTTTCTGACGAGGATCTTGGACGTATACTTCATCTGAACTCCCTTGAAACACTGTGAAATACCGGGTGCGTTTTATATATCTATATATAACACGCTCTGTTGCTGCAAAAATCGCCAAATTTCGCAGCAAATATCCCCCGTATAAGATAAGGCAGTTTCACCGGTCCACGTGGAGTAAAGTACGACTATGCGTGGACATAGCCAATGAGAAAGCGTGTATTTCAGAGCTCCGAACAAGTGCAGGTGGCTACTGAAAATTGAAACAGTTTAGCCAGTGCCGTGTAACGTGTTTTCTTTAGTCTGTCCGTGTTTTTTCATAGATTTTATTAGTTTGTGTGTTTTTGACTTTTAAATAGTCAGTTTACTTGTTGATTTAATTGTTGTGTTGATTGTTCTTGTGTGTCCTAAATATGGCTCTTTGGAGACATTGGGCAAATGCTCCAAGCCACGAGGAGATGGTTGATGAACCTGTGCAGGCAGAATTCTTTCATAAAGATTTAGAGGAACAGACCCAAAGAGTAATCCTAAATATGTAAGATTGTCTGAAAAACGAAAATCCAGATTCCTCGCAAAATCAAATTATAAACAGAATTTGTATCCTGACAAAAATCAGTCGGTCTACCATTTATCGGGTTATAAAATGGGGAGATGTAGTCAACCATTCCTTGCACAGAAAGCGCATAAGGCAAAAATTAAAAAGAATAGACGTGGGTTTTCAGGAAGATATTCGTCGTATAATATACGGATTTTATAACGAAAATTTGGTGCCCACGTTGGAAATGATACGGGATAAATTAAAAGATTATCCTGAAGATTTTTGTAATTACAAATGCTTAGACTCACTGCACTGTATTGAAAAACTGTGTGGTTTTCAATACAAAAAATTAGATAAAAGAATGGTGATTATGGAGTCGTCTCGAATCGTTGAATTGCGCCAAGAATTTTTGCACAAAGAGAGCAGAAAAGAAATCTGATTTACCTGGATGAAACGTGGTATGATACCCATGATGTTGTGCAGTACGGCTGGGTTGACGACAGCAACAAGTGCATTTTGAATGCACCATGCAACCGTGGAAAACGAATCATTATTCTCCATGCTGGCAGTGAAAATGGATTTATACCTAATGCCTTGCTGTTATCTGCCAAAAATATCAAAGAATCATGTGCCGACTATCATGAGGATATGACCTCCGACTTATTTGAAAAGTGGATAGAGCAGCAGTTAATACCAAACATTTCCCCAAATTCAGTGATTATTATGGACAATGCGCCATACCATTCCCGACAGAAAAACAAAATTCCGAATACAGGCACAAAAAAACAAGACATTTATTTTATGAAGGATAAGGGAATGGAAATACCACAAAAATCAACCAAAGCCATATTATTATTAAAAGACAAAAATTTGAAATAGAGTATATTGTTGACAATCTGCTTCAGCAAAATGGCCATGAAGTATTACGTCTACCTCCCTATTACTGCATTTTTGACCCGATTGAGTTGGTCTGGGCTGCTTTAAAAAAAAGTAAGAAAACATAATCAGACCCCTCAATTAAGTGAATCGCTATTGGCCACAATAAGAGATGCAATATCTCATATTGCTGCCACAGACCTATGGAAGCAGTGTTCTAGGCATATTAGTGAAAAAGAAAATGAATATTTTGTTTTGCCTCCTGTAAATCCCGTTGTAATTCCTCTACAAGATGACTCTAGCGACAGCTCCGAAGGCGAGTATAATATATAAATACCTATAATGTAAGTCTTTATATACCTTTTTATATACCTACCTGCTATGTAAATATTTGCCTATGTTAAACGTTGGAATTCTGTAATTTTTCCGTTTCTTAACTTTCAGTCAACATAAATTAAACTCCCAATATAAGATTTTTTATCCCAAATCAAAAAAATAAGAAGATAGTAAAATCCATTTATTGTGATATAAAAACATTATTATTATCGTTCTAAATAAATGACCGCACGCCTATGATACGTCATGAAATTACAAAGGACGCGCCGACCAAAGGTTTTTATGCTATTTCAAGTGACTTCAGATAAAGCATACTTGCCACAATTAAATTTCGTCAGAAGTCGCATCCATAGTACCCGTAGCCTAATGAATATTCTATAGTCGGGCGGATATGATGATGGATAGACGTTTATTTCAAGTTCTTTTCGTAAAGCCATAACAACATAGTTACGCTGATGTATCAAAGAATACAATTAGGTATAAGTTGCGACTAAGTGAATCTCAAAAAAATCCTATCTCGGCTTATATGAAGACACACATGATTTTCGGTACCACCCCATCGACAGAACCAGGCGTACCTTAACAGATCCATTTTCGCAAGAGACATAAAAGCAAACGCCGCTTGCAAAAATGACAAGCAACGTAAGACACGCATTAAGCCAACTTCAGTATGGCCACGTTTCGTTCCCTAATACGTAGAGTGCACGTGTGTGTTCCATTGTTTCGAGAATGATAAAAATGCACCTGTCATAGCACGTGCTGAACAATTGCTAATAGACGCTTATGCGCGGCGATCCACTGAATCAAAACGTAATTGTTCTATGGTCAAGCTTGGACGCTATAGTACAATCATTTTGGATGTTCTGCGTGCACAGAATCATTAGCCAGGTTCCATTACTCTGTCACAGAAAATTCTTTGTTCACTTCTGAGTAAAATATTTTAAATCTCATATTCCTATACATTTGTTATGTGTGTGATATCAAAGGCTATCTAACAATATGAAATGAAGTTTGTCGCAAATAGTTGGACAACCAACAGGCGATGCAACAACGAAATCGGATTCTTATCGACGGGTTTCAAAAACTACGGGCCACCTCTTAATGTTGCAATGACGTCTAAATGCTTCTCGTGTTTCATTCAGTAAATTTCTGAGATATCCTCAGAATTCGTTTCTAATATAAAGTTGTGAGGAAGCACCAATAACGTATATACTGTATATAAATGAATTGTCAAAACATATAAGTAATGCAGAAATTCTTTTATAATGAGAAAACAGCTCTTGGTTTCGGTGATTCTGAGGACGATGTTTAGTGCAAAACATATCTAATACAAGACACACAGAATTGGTGTATCAAAAAGAAGCTTATGCTAAATGTTTAGAAATCATAAATTATGCATTTTGGCATAAAAACTATAAATGTTTTACTTCTGAGGTAAATGTTAACAATATTGAAATTCAGAAGAATCGAGTGACGCTTTTCTATATCAAGATTATTTTTACATAAACAAATATCGAGGCTCATATTCAGTCTTAGTAATACTTCTGCAATGATGTGTTTAAGAACAATAATATCTTTACTGTGACAGCAATACATCTTTACAAGCTGTTATCTCAGATACATCGCAATAGACGAAAATTCCTTATTAATGGCTTTAACTATACTTATGACACGAGAAACAGAAATTCAATATGCTTAGAGAAGTTCATTCACATCTTCTTTGCGATAATGCCAAATGTCGCCTCTTCAACCACCTTCCAGCATATACTCGTATTAACCACGTCAGAAACCACATAAATTTTAGACGCTAGTTGAGATCACTGCCAGTTGCTCTCCTTATACAATCCATGAATTATTGATTTAACTAAACCCCTTTGCTGGGCATGTAATCTTAGCGATTTGTATTTTATTGTTTGTACTTACGTGTTGTTTATCAGTGTTATTGTAAATCTGTTGTCTTTTGTTCACATCTACTATTTTGTGTTATCAATGTACCTGAATCCACCTATTTGTTATTTATAGCCTACAGGTTTAAAAAAATGTCTAATGTCTGATAGGACTATATCCATGAATGTAGAAACCTTAGAGAAGAACATTTCAAAATCCTTACAGTACATTTGCTTAAAATTAACGCACAAAAATTAAAATAATGTAGGGAAATATAAAGCTCTCCGTGCACGCCGATGTTGATGTTACCGGAATTATACGAATACAAGTTTGAAGAAGTAATTTTTTTCGGTTTAATGAGAAACAAACCCTTATTTCCAAGGTAGCAGAAAAATCGCATGAATAGACTGAACCTATCTCTCGGTGTGTTGGCTTAATAACCGATCGTGGTGTTATCTAAGTTAGCTGTTCTATAAGTTATGCAATCGCAACACGACACACTAACTCAGGATAGGGTAAACAGAAATATTTCATGGATGAATAGTTCTTCATTTTGTTTACTTTGATCATTAGTTGTGAGGATCTTTATGTCAAAGGTCATTATGAAACTTGACCGGTAATATCTAACAACAGTAACATATGCTTACAAAAGAGTATTTGAATGATACTTAATGCATACGGACTTTTTATAGGACAAGCACAGTAAATGTTGGCGACTTCTTGGAGACGAATACAAAACCGTTCTTCCACCTGAGGCGCTATTACTTTAGCGGCGTCTTATTGGCGCTAACAGAATATGGTCCGAAACGGCCAGAACAACAACACATATTCAAGTGATAGCCCGAATTAGCTCGAAAAAGGTCGTTTTTATTGTCCTAATTTTTTCGAACCTACAGCTTAGCAAAAGCGATACAACTCTACTCGTCATTGCCCGTCAGAGCAGTCCGTGGGGCCTTTAATCTTGGTTAAAGTATTTGTAGGTCAGTGGGTCGCCCGTCAGGTCTGGTTGCGTAGATACCAGTCCAAGTCAGAGAGAAAGAAGGGAAGGATAAGGAAAGGAATGAAGAGGGAAGAGCAAATAAGAAGAAGTGCGTCTGTTGGAGATGATTTGGAATTTGGTTTTTAACGCTTCAGTATGCTTCTGCCAAGTCTTCTCCTTGTCGAGAGTGACACCAAGGTACTTGAAAGAATTTTCTCATGGCACACGAACTCCATGCACTGAAACCTCAGAAGGGGCGCCGCTACGTTTTCCAAGGTGATCCAAATACATTCTCAACATCAAAGTGAGTTTTTGTTGCACTACTCTGAGCTGATGATAGCTTGGCTAAGATAAAGTTACATTCAACAACAGTGCCTCAGTAGTAACTTTCAATGGAAATTACGTCTAAAACTACACATCAGCTGGTTGATGTGGTTGTGTTTTCTTCCACACTAAAGTTATAGGAATAAAAACGCAAACCCACTGAAATAATTACTTCTGAAATAAGCCAGCACAACGAGCTATCTTACTTTGATGGACCTTATACCTTAGATAAATGACAGCTGGACAGTTTTCGCTCGTTGTTCTACCTGAGGCAGAGGCTAGACCATGTTGACGAGTTGCCAAATAGCACGAAACTTGGTTGGTCGTCTGTAGCTGAACGAACGAAGGCATTAGGTAAACGAAGCTCGAACAGCCTGGAGAAATGAATACTGCTTTATGGCCATATTTGGTAGTTGCTTTTGATGAATAGTTACAAAATACTATCGTTACGTGAGCTTCTAAGAACTTAGCGAGGAACTTGTGTTAACGTTTCATATCCGCTGTTTTTGACTTATCAAGAACTTGAGAGACAGTGGTCAGTAGGTCAAATCATAAACATCTCAAAACGGAAAACTCATGAGTAACGAGACGTGGAAGGAAAACTGAATCTTTGGAAAAATGTTATGTTACCAAAGCTCTCGAAATGTTCTGCTCTATTACGGAAGCAGTCCCATACACCAGTAGATCTATTTCATCAACTCCACCAAGCTCTGCGATATTTGTATCCATTCCATATTCGACGTTCTTTGAGGAAATTATTGAGTCCCTAATTTTAGACCACTCGAAAGTCAACTTAACACTTCGGGTAAGAAAATCCACTTTGGGCAGTTACATTCTTCGACTTGGCTCAATTGTCCGTTTGAACTCCGTCAAGTCGTAAGTATATTTGATACAAATAAAACATGCAACTTAAGGTTTAGCTTAGCGTAAAGTTAGCAAGGCAGTGCAGCCAGACATAATGTGACAAGACATCTGTTGCTCCTAAAATGAAAAGACAAGTGAGGCATTCGTGTAATGAAAGAGACCGTCCATTCTTCCGATATACTATTTGTGTATCCAAATACAACAGTAAGAGTGCCATCTATTACCAGAATCGCCCACTGCGGAAGTGAATAGCAGTTATTTGTTGGGACACTGAAGTATTGTCGTGATTGTTCCTGGCAGAGTACTCATGATTGGTGCTGCAAAGGGCTGATGATACAAAACACTGAAGTACTCATAAATAAACCCTATTGAACATAAAACTATAGAGAAGAGGTACTCTAGTTGGCACGGTAGAACGCAGAGTGTCTCTGTACAGGGCAGAATGGCAAGAGAGACCCCCCCAATAGGGGACTGCCGCTAAATCGAGAATCAATTTCAAGTGTCAATAAAAGTAGTTTTTATAATCAATAGTATCTCCAGTCCGGCTGATAAGAATACACCATTATTTATAATGCATAGACATTAGCGGTTGTGGCTTAGGATATCTGTATGGTATATCTGAAGTCACTTGAAATAGCATAAAAACCTTTGGTCGGCGCGTCCTTTGTAATTTCATGACGTATCATAGGCGTGCGGATTTACAGGAGGCAAAACACAATATTCATTTTCTTTTTCAATAATATGCCTAGAACACTGCCATAGGTCTGTGGCAGCAATATGAGATACTGCATCTCTTATTGTGGCCAATAGCGATTCACTTAATTGAGGGGTCTGATTATGTTTTCTTATTTTTTTTTAAAGCAGCCCAGACCAACTCAATCGGGTTAAAAATGCAGTAATAGGGAGGTAGACGTAATACTTCATGGCCATTTTGCTGAAGCAGATTGTCAACAACATACTCTTTTTCAAATTTTTGTCTTTTAAAAGATCCAATAATATGGATTTGGTTGATTTTTGTGATATTTCCATTCCCTTATCCTTCATAAAATAAATAACGTCTTGTTTTTTTGTACCTGTATTCAGAATTTTGTTTTTCTGTCGGGAATGGTATGGCGCATTGTCCATAATAATCACTGAATTTGGGGAAATGTTTGGTAATAACTGCTGCTCTATCCACTTTTCAAATAAGTCGGAGGTCATGTCCTCATGATAGTCGGCACATGATTCTTTGATATTTTTGGCAGATAACAGCAAGGCATTAGGTATAAATCCATTTTCACTGCCAGCATGGAGAATAATGATTCGTTTTCCACGGTTGCATGGTGCATTTAAAATGCACTTGTTGCTGTCGTCAACCCAGCCGTACTGCACAACATCATGGGTATCATACCACGTTTCATCCAGGTAAATCAGATTTCGTTTCTGCTCTCTATAGATTTTAACTTTGTGCAAAAAGTCTTGGCGCAATTCAACGATTCGAGATCACCATTCTTTTATCTAATTTTTTGTATTGAAAACCACACAGTTTTACAATACTG